CTAAAACAGCTTTCAATCCCTTGTAAATGTTGTACTTACCTCAATATTGGTTGGTTATCGTATGCTTACAACCACGGGATGAAAACGAAACGAAGTCCATTTTCCCGCTCAACCTGGAGGACAACTGTACAATTCAATAACTATACGGCCTGGTTCAGACAATTAGTGTAATTATATATATATCAAATATTTGACTGTTGAAACATTATTAACTTGTAGACAATCTACGATTTGATATTATATCATACTTGATCGTGCCTGTAAAATTGGCATGCATTTTCATGCAAATTTATATGTTTATACGAGAATATACATTATTATTATTAAAAGACTAACGCTTCAATCTGCAAACCTAACCAGACTCCGAAGTGTCACTGACTTAGGCCTGAGGTATTCTAGTGACCTAGCATTTCCTGAGCAGGTGACATCACAGAGTCGAAAGCCGAGGATGCTCTCAGGATGCATACTCAGGAACTTCCACGACAATAAAACCAAGCTCATTCTATACAAAACATGTGTAAGGCCACTACTAGAATGCTGTCCATTTATTATAAGCTGCACTAGCATATGTTACAACCTGAGGATGAAAAATATCCAACGATATTTCACGTCAAAACTAATTGACTACGATAGTAAGAAAGACCATATCTCACGGTGATTGATGCTAAATTTTAACTCACTTTGAACGAGACAACTTATCATAAATCTATTATTCTTCTTTAGCGTTGCCAGTCAAGTCTCATAAACCACTAATGTACTGCTATTGCTACGCTGGGCCTCACACCGTCCCTCGAAGGTTTCCCAGAAACACTGGATTCCAAAATGGCTTACCAGTTGCAACTACAGGCTTCTTCACCGCACCATTATCGTCACAAAAATTCATAGTCAGAACTTGATGACTCTGATTTCACATTTAGCTTACTACTAAACTTGCTCACTGATTCACAGTTCGCCTTCGTATACACTTCTTGCAAACGTGTAAAACACAATTGTGTTTGTCTCGCAACTTGTAACCTATCTGTTAATAACGTTCTACGAAAGCTGTTACACTCACTAAGTTTATACGGATTACTAGACACCATAAAGCTTTCTCGATATCCACTTCTCTGAGACTCTTTCGTCATAAGTGATTGTGTTTTGCTCTCAGACTGCTCTATTCTAGGGGTGGGATCCAATACACTGGCAAACTTGCTCATAGCTTGGTTGTCACTGTCTTTTACCAGTTTCAGAATATCATCAAACTTTGGCTCAATACCTTCATCCTCTATATGAGAGCTTATCTTCACTCACTTCCTTTGCAGTCGAGTAGGTAGGCGTCTTGCTATTACTTCTAGTATAAAACTCGAGTTGACGTCACTCATGCGATTCATCGAAATCATTGCATTCTTGTAAATTAGCAAATTATCCGAATACTCAGAGAGTGCCTTGGAGTCATCTTGTAATTGACCACCATTACCTTTAACAGCCTCGAATAATTTCCCTAGCATCATCGAAGGTCTTCCGAATCTTTGACGCAGCATACTCGTAGCCTCAGAGTATCCTTCGTTAGGGGACATGAACTTACAGCACTGTATAGCTCTTGTAGCAACTCCAGTGCAGTACCTCATCAAATACACCAACTTCATTCCATCATTTAATACAAAACTACTCAACATGATTTCGAACTCCTTTATAAATTGTAAATAGTCACCCGGGTTTCCATCAAAGTACTGAGGTTCAAATTTTGGCCTATTATCCCTAGACTGCGAAACATGAACAAGAATCTCATCATGTTGAGTATCAAACACATCGTTACATGTAACAGACAAATCAGCGTGACTTACTTTCCTGCTTTCTTCCAGGACGCTTTATCCCTCCTTTGTCCCTGGCACCACTGAACTTGACCGAAATTCCTGAAAAGTTCCGGATAACGGTTGTTCAAATAAGACTTGGCGGGAACCAGGAAAGACGAACGGAAACTGTAGAAATACTGTCACAAACTGTCAGTCAATTCTCATAAACCGCTAATGTCCTGGTCATGCTATGCTGGGCGTCACGCTGTCCCTCGAAGTTTTTTCAGAAACGCTTAACATTAAACGACGCAAAACCCAAAATACTGTTCGGTGACTCAAGAATTCTTCATTCTAACGCACACATATAACCAGCAACACTAGTATTACAGAGTATGGTTTCTGGCAGTTTTTTAATCTTTCTTTCTGAACAGCGACCGATGAGACGACGACTGGTGGATTGATGACTCCCGCGAAAAATATGGGGAAGTTGGGTTTGAGCAAACAACCATGAATTGATCGTTCAATCTTCAACTACATTGACACTCCCCGCCAAAAATGGGATCCATCCCTTTTTTCCATCACGACCAATACACGTTGACTTGGATGTCATTGCGAGAACCTGGGTCACACGGACAGAGCTGAAATGGAAAACAGACAGAAAAGCCAACACACCACAAGCATACCCACAGCAAAATCTCACACATCAATGACGACCTCCGCCTTCCAGTTAAAGGCATCCTCTTGACATCTTGCAACACAATCGTCATTTGCTAGAATGACTCTCGCAGAATGCAACGTGACCATAGCACCACCTCATGATACTCTTCTCACATCCTCTTTTCTGTTCACTACCAATTACCGCTGCGATCGCTTGCCACTCATTCTGCCTCAGTTCTAGTAACGGTGACGTATGCATGCCTAGGTCGTCTACACTCTCGCTCCCCGGCGTGTGGGACCACAACTAACAATTATCTCCGTGCGCATGTCATTCTCAGCACTAGGCTCCCCGGCGTATACGACCCATCTGCAGTTTTTAACACCAATCAATTCATTGACGGATGTGGAAGACTAGAAACAACTTCAGAAGTAACCACGACGAACAATTTAACAAAATTATGCATAACAACAGGGTAATAATAATATATTCTCATTTTGTACATGAGTTACTCCAGTTTAACTGGCATCATCAATATGATAAAATACATATAGGATTATCAATCATACTTAACAATAATGTTTTAATAAAATACATCCTCTTTTCCTACCTGTGTAGGACACACCTAATGTATAGGCATGGATAAGCATTATTTAAATTTCATAAATTTGGTTTATGGTTAAATTACATGGTTGCTGACGAAAACAACGGGTAAACACAGTGAATCCATAAACACCAATTGATATGACACACCACATATATACAAACAGTGCAAATAATCTCGAAGATTATGTCTCGATGTAATTCCTTATAATGATCGCAGGACTTACGCCAGTGCGCCTGCTCTTCATTGTCGGATCTTTAAATTGCACTTCACAATGTCTCATTTCATTCATTTTCTAATAGCGTCTTTACTGGGTCCTCATTGTACTCCACTGAACCTAACTTTTTTTTCGCTCTTTATGAATTTGATTTGACTTATTCTATTCCTATTTTCTGTAGGGTACGGTTGTGCACCAAATGCACAAAAAGTTATAAAAACAACCGGCATGAGGAAAAATGTATTAAAACCAAAATTGGATATCATGATTGTGCCAACTGTACGGGAAGCAGTATACATTGCCAATGAACATTGTCAGCCCAGGGAGTTTCCTTCATTATTGCGTTTATTACACTTTATTGATTCACCTTAGCACTTTTACTCTTCTAGAACAGCTTTCAATCCCTTGTAAATGTTGTACTTACCTCAATATTGGTTGGTTATCGTATGCTTACAACCACGGGATGAAAACGAAACGAAGTCCATTTTCCCGCTCAACCTGGAGGACAACTGTACAATTCAATAACTATACGGCCTGGTTCAGACAATTAGTGTAATTATATATATATCAAATATTTGACTGTTGAAACATTATTAACTTGTAGACAATCTACGATTTGATATTATATCATACTTGATCGTGCCTGTAAAATTGGCATGCATTTTCATGTAAATTTATATGTTTATGTGAGAATACACATTATTATTATTAACCCTTCTCAGTTTGACGATTGTAAATTGAAGAATGTCTGTACACAAACAAGATCAACCAACAATTACATTAATTGGAAGCCACTTAGTTATTTAACGCAGACATATGTACAAGTTATACATCATTGTGGATTAGGATTCTGGAATGTCTAAAGAATATTTAAAACTTCACCTTTTTCTTTGCTTGAACTAAAGGGAGACTCTCTGCATCGATGTATGAAAAGACTAGTGGGAGGTTAATAAATGTTTGCTAGACAGCAATTTACAATAAATATACGCATAATTTAAATTTCCATTTATGTCCATATACTTTTCTCTTCTGGTGCTTTGCTGCTTACCCCTCCGCTTCTATTCGCCTTCTTTTAGGTCGCACAAACCTACAGCATAGCTGAAGTTAAGGAGAACTTGAGCCCATATACCACATCATTCTTCAAGCTGTTGGGTCATAATAACTCAAATTCCTAAGAAAAATCTTGTGTCTCCGCATCAGGACTCTAAAAACCAAATTATTTTTTATTACAGCTTGATTTGATACAGTATTTCTGGTACAAATATGAAATTTCCAGCATGTGATATCGGTAGCCCGAATTTTGCAGGCCAACCATAGATATCAAGTGTGCGTCGGCAGGCTGTCGAACCCCGTACCGTGTGCATGGTCGGCTAGAGTCCTAACCACTGTGCCACAAACGCACATTCTGTACGAACTAAAAAGGACTGAAGGGAAAAGTGCGGATTATGGATGCGCTGTCGAAGCCCTATGTTCTAATCCGAACCCAGGAGAATACTAACGATATTAACTTAAAGAAAATGTACGAACTGTAACGAACTAGCAGAGCAAAATGAAATTCATAGTGCAAAAGGAGCATTTGAGTTCATATAACTGGGTGACCTAAGCATTTGGTGCTGCTGGAGACCGTCTTCAAAGGCGGAGCCTTTCATATCAAAACATAGATTACTGCAGTACATACTGCGCACCGAATTTTTGAAAAAGCGCTATCATTGTAGTAAGAGTAGCGAGAATAAAAATATAATGTCAGAAATGGTTTAAACTTCAAATAATGTGAGAAGCTTTTTTCATGTAGTAAAAAGTTTAGAAGAATTATGATTCATACCTGCCAGCTGATGTTTGTTTGTTTGTCTGCTTTCAAAAATTCTGCGCTCGGGATCATCTTATGGCTGTGGATGTTGTGCATGGATATATTTAGTTCTTATCTTGTCCATATGCCTATGTAAGTTAATGTTAGGGTAATTTTGTCATGACGCTTTCTTTCTGCTCGGTCTTCCGACCTTGAAGCCCCTTTATTAAAGCTTTTTTGGTATTTTCTTAACAGTTCTCGTTATTAATTTTTTCGAGGGGAATTCCTTCATTTTGTCTAAGTGAGTGTACTTACTTGGCTGTTTCGCCCATAACTGAGGATATTAGTGTGAAATTAAACTGTATGCTTCTAAACGGGAAATACAATTATATACTAAGCACTATACATGGTACTCATCCTTACTTACTTAGTATTGTAGTGACTAGGGCTTTCAAGACAGGCATTTTTTGTTAGCTTACGTTTGCAAGTGTTGTATGTTTAATACAGTGTGATCGGAACATGCGCGACGTCTGCCGTTTGTTCACAGTACTGTAAAATGCATAGTTTGCCCTAATTAGACTTGTTCCCATTAACTTGATAGATTTGATTGCAATTGTGCGGATCATAATCTTCATAGCTTAATTCAAGGGACGCCATCCAATAACAGTCATTAGCTGCCATATGCGTAATCAGATTGTGCAATAGACACGTAAATTGGTGCTTTTTTCTCCCAGTAAAAACCCTTTTTCTCTTGAAATATAGTGTTAGAGTCTGCTAAACTGTTTTCGATATCAGATATTTTTGATAATGTTAAATTCCAGTAAGTCGAATTTCTCAGTATTTGCATTCAAAATTGGGTGTGGACATTCCGTCAGGAGATAAGAACAATCCACACCAGCAAAGGTTTCAGGTTGTTTGTAAGTAACATGCCATACAGCTGCCATTGTAAACAATAATACACTTTAAAAAAATAAAAGGATTGCATAACAAGTAGGATGCCTCGAGCTGTTTTTGAATGCTTCCGCGTATACAGCCTACATGTCATACTGTAGTTGGAAAATTCGTCGTTTCTACTAAAATATGCCCATTCCTTGGGAAGGTTGGTAGTGTAGTTTTTGTACTTGCATGATTTAGTTAGATTAGCTTCAACTTGATGTTCTTTACTGGAGATAGCATCTGCCCACACAATAACTTTGTACATTACCTGGTGCTTCGTTTTTGTTTCATAAGCTGGTTAGAACTCATGTTAATCGCAAGCGCACTGGTCGTGAATTATATAGGTTATGTGTTACGCAACTTGCTGGTAACGCATGCAGTGGTTTTATGTATTTATGCTTTCATTTGTCTTGTTTCAGGGTTGCAGTAAAAAGGATCCTCGAAGGTTTTGTGCTGATTTTTGTAAAGTTGAAATTCGTGGGTGAGGCAGCATTGTAACTCTTTGACTTTATTTAGACATCATCTCAATGCGTCATGCTTAGAAAAGGCATATAGAAAAATTAGACAAGTGTTTGCCATGAATACTTGCAGTTATTCTCATGAGTCTGAAAAATGCTTAATGGTTATTTGTTCGTGAGATGACTCAGTATCCTTAAAATTCTAAGGACCATCAATTTTCACTAAAATCGTCTGTACTCTTCGTAGTGTCACTGTTTAGCTTTCGTGTTTTGTTCTGTTTGAGAGCGTGAACAGTTAAGCAGACGGCTTTCTGTACAAAATTCTACTTCAGTTTGACAGCCAGTCCAAGAGCATCACGGTATTCACGTGATACTTTATACCTCAATTCTTCAGATAGATGTGTTCATTTTGTATCGTTGATGTTCAGTCTACCTGGAAGTCATTCTGAACAAGTTATATTTTGTAGTTTGATATGACAACAGTCGGAATCTGTGAAATAAAAACTGGATAGGGTAACATCCTTAATAGTTAACTATCTCATTATTAAATTTATCTCCTTAGGGTTTATTTTCTAATTCATCCCTGTGACTTATGATCTTTAATGAAACTGTTTTGTATTTCTTTATTACTCCTTTGTCTCACACCTCTGCTCACTGTTTCTATTATGCTTTTCTTGTACTTTCTTCTCTTGCTTCGCGTGCTACACGGAATGTGGCGACTTGAACTTCCGCACATTTGTGCAAAGTTCTATGTCGAAAACAGACAGACAGACATGTTCGTTTAACCATATGCTACCTAGCATTATAATAAACTGAACGAATACGTTTTTTACGGTGTTTCTTGTATCATGTAGGGACGTATAATGTCTAGTTAGATCTCGCAGAGCAGTTGGGTTGTGCTCGGAGACTTTTGTTAATAGGGATCAATCAACTGCGTTTCTTCTCTTTAAGAAAAACTTCGTGTTATGATAATATACTTGTTTTTAGTTTGGGCTCCGTTTCTTCATCAATTTTGTTTGTTGTGCAGTTAGTTAAATGGTAATACTAAGTCGTGCTGTGATGTGTGTGTGTTAGACTAATTAAAACCTAATGAATCATCTTAAATAATCATTTTCGTATTGATGTTATTGTTCGGCTTATTCAATTGGTAAGCTGAGGTTATTTAGGTGATGAAGTGTTAATCTTACGTGAATCGGAGGTTGTTTCACTGTTATTAACTCACATTTTGTGCTTTATAGGTAGGCTATTAAAATAATGGTTTGTCTGAAAATTGACTTCGGAATTTCAATCATATTTTTTTTATTTTGCTCAAAACACCTTTTTTGAATTAACTTATAGGTACAATATAAGGCGTACAACGGATAGTGTCCCTTGTAATGAAGCTACCGAATGTTAGTTAACCAATTGACCAATCATTCCTATAATTTTCATGTTTTCATTGCTGTTTGCTTATATCAGTGAAGACTGTGACGATAAAGGCATTTATGATCGCTGTTCACAGCGTTGTTTATTAAGTAGACGGATTAAAATAGAATTTAGCCTAGAATCGATTCAGTCCTATTTGCCACCCAGGACAGACAAATTAAGCGGGAGTATAATTTTAATGTATGAGAGGAAAAGTATAAATAATCAAATGACTAACAGAAGCGCTTGAATTTTCTAGCTACGTTACTTAGTTTCCAACCTTTAAAGACTAGTCACCAAGCAAAGTTGTTATGATGTCGATTCACAGTTCCCTTCATTTTATCACCTCACTTTACATAATTAAATCTAAAGCTTAGCTTGTCAAATTTTTGGATGTCTAACGTTCAACAGCTTTTGAACGTTCCTGATATTTTTCTGAAGCTATTAAGCACTTTCGTTACATCAGTAGTAAAGTCGAGTAGCATCGACGTTAGAGGATATTACTGTCTGTTAACACATCACATAACTCTTCGTAAGCATTATTTTTTAATTTTTTATTTTGACTATCGCTTGATTCCAAACAGTACTGTTGGTACAAGTATGGAATTTTCCGCATGTGATATCGGTAGCCCAAATTTTGTAGGCCGACCATTGGTATCAGGCATGCGTTGGCAGGGGATCGAACCCCGAACCATGTTCATGATTGACGAGAGTCCTAACCATTCTGCCACCGACGCACAGAGCTTCTATCGACAGAACGGAAAACTACCCTCCCATGTTTTTGTCTACTACTTACCCACAAGCTGCATTGAATATACGTCCTGTACTGAACAGTTTGAAGTTGTAAAAACAATCTAGAGCTTGGACGACTACACTTAATGGATGAAAGTCAAATGTTTGAGTCAGTCACTGAAGTGTTATTCACTTTCTTTTATAGGCATTCTGTACACTGTAGTCACTTTCATCCTATTTTATAAACGAGTTATCGGAATAATAAATCTTCTTGATCCGTCAATGTGCCTTCGTAACTTTTTTTTTTCATAAATCTTATTCTTCTATTCTAGAAAAAAAGTCCTGTAATCCTATTTTATATATTATTTCAGGATACTTTTGCTATGCCACTCCATGTAGATCCTAGAAAACACGAACTTCTAGAAGCTAGAATTCAAGGAAATAATCATATAAATCAAATGAATAATATCCCTGTATCAACAAAGACGGATTCATATGCATCAGCATATATGTATCCTATAGCAGCAGATGAATCGTCGCGTACTCCAGAACATTCAGCTTTGCGTGGATCTTCTAGTCCATCTAGTTCGGCTGGTGAACATGATTTAAGCACTAGCAGTAGTGATCCTAAACCAGTAACAACTGTTATCCCTTCAACACCAGCAGAACCAAACGAACGGATTCCGAGCAGTGCAGACGTGAGCAAAAAATTTCAAAATTCTACCAATCAGAATAGTAATCGCTTGGATATCACCAATTTACCTCTTAGTATACAAAATCCCCAAACATTTGTACAAACTCAGTCAGATTATGTGACTTCACCTACAACTCCAAAAAGAAATAGAATGCCTTCAAGTTCCACTGGAGAGTTTGATAATACAACAAACGATGGAGCTCTTGCTTCACCTGTCAAATCAGGTGATAAGTTTTTAGAATCTTTAGCTACTGGTGCTCCAGCCAATCCTATGGGTTCACCTCAGTGTTTACAATACCTTTCAAGATCCAATTCTATGCACACACCTTCCACTGTTGCTGGCAACAGTCCTATTAAATCCCAAACATCTGTAAATGATAAGAATAATCCATATTTCACATTCCAACCATCTGTTCAACCCAGTCCTATAGTTGTTGAAACAAATAATCCTTCTGTCTATGATCCATCTCCATCTATAAAGCCACCTACTTCAACGCATGGTGGACAGGTTGACTCCTTACCGTCTAGAAATGGTACAAAAAAGCGACGAAAACCTGCCAACTCTGAAGATGTTCACACACCGAAGGCGAAGAAATTGATTGGTCAAGATCGTGGTTCGAAACGTATTGATGAAATCTTTAAAGTAAGTGTTGTCTCTATGTCTCAGTGTTTAAATTTGACGGTTTTGATATCAATATTAATATTAGATGGTAAACGGATAATCCGTTTCCAAGAATGGAAACAGTGACTTATTAATAAATAAGTAATCATACTTTAATGGTGTCGCACCATTAACTGTTCAAATAGAAAGTGTTAATCTTATGCGAATGTGTGCATAATGACTTTGCTCCATCAACTTCAACTGGTGAAAACATGATCATAGGTGTCTGCGTTCTATCTCCCTCCCGTGTGAAGTGGCATAATAAGGTGAGCAATATTGAAGTTAGGCCTTGGTCGAGTGCTAGGTAAGGGGGGTGAGAAAGCAATAGACGAGGCTGTGAAGTTACATCTACTGAGATGGTTAGGACAGGTGTTACGCATGCACGCCCAACCATCGCCTTCCTCGACAACAAACAATGTTAGCTGACATAGGGTCAGGCTGGAAAAGAGCTAGCACATGGTGGTCAAACCAAAACATGGCTTCATCAGTCAATGAAATCCACAACAGTTAACTTAAGCCACGTAAAAAGATGTAGACTTGCTGGTTGAGGTCTTCGGAACGTTAGAAACCAATGGCTGGAGGCAATTGGTGGTGTTTCAAAATCGCTCCTTGTAACTTACAATACCCAATGGAACTATATTGTTCCTCGTTATTACTATTCCTTTTGTCTCACACCTCTGTTTACTGTCTGTATTATGCATTTCTTCTACTTTCTTCTCTTGCTTTGTGTGCTACATAGGATAAAGTGTAGCGACTTGAACTGCTGCACATCAGCGCAAAGTTGTTCTATGTCGAAAACAGACAGACTTCAACTGGTGTTATTTTAATATGTATAACTTTTGCGAGTAATTGTAATCCATATTCGTTCATGTCTTCTCATTTAGTTCATGCCTGGTCCCTTGTATTCATCCTGTGGTTCAACAAGCCCAATACGTAATCCTCGCCCACAAAGCCCTGTAAGTCTTTACATCTTATTCTCATAACAGCTATATATATATGTGTATATATATATATATATATATATATATATATATATATATATATATATATATATATATATATATATAAGAACTTTCAAGGTTTACGATTGTTAGACCAGTTATACTCATCTTGGTACTTGAACTCTTCACTTTTCTAAAGATGTTTGCTTAATTCCTTATTTGAGTAAACTACTGTGGAGAGAACTTCAACTAGATTAGATGAGGAAATCATATTTGTGTCATGAAAGTTGAGTTGATTGAATTATCCAAACAATAGAGTAACAAGAGTACTACATCTTCTGTATGTAGAGAGGAGCTTTATAAAGATTTCTGACAGTTGTAAATACCAGTTATTCTTGATAGTTTGTAGACTTCATAACCTACCTGTCGACAAAACCTTCTGTTGTCATGACTAATTCACACAGATGTGATCATCGGAGTATTGGATTGTGAGGGCGATTGTTACTTCCCTGTTGCCCACACTGTGGAAGTTGATTGCGTGACCGCAGAGCCCAGGGGACAACTGCTTGGGGCCGGTTTCAGTAGCATATTTATCACTTCTGCCCTGTGACACGGCAGCAGGAAGCACGGTCGTTGTTAATCCGGGCCACGGCCGATCCGGCATGAAATTTTGTGAATTTGTTTGAATCATGGTATTGGATAGGGTAGCTGCTTTTTGTTTAACCGCTATCCAAACAACCTGCCTGGCATGGTAGAACCTCAAGAGACATAAGTCTCAGCTAGTATAGCTTGATTAGGTGATTGCGGTGTTCAAGCCCGACCACCACGTCAAAATAGCAGCTTTCGGTCGGGGATCATCGGACAAAATGAGATTTTCATGCAAACTAGTTACTTGAGTAACAGGAAAACACCAACTACGTACACTTGTTCATACACTTAATGACTAAAATCTATAATATGACGATGTTACTCAGTTATCTAAACTTCATATGTAACATATGCTCTGGGTTAATAATCAGTGCTGAGAAAACAGACAACTGTTCATTTGAAGAATGGATCCTCCCCCTCTGAAGTTTGGTAGCATTTTTGTCGGACAGAGTTCATAAGAACCTATCTTGAAGTTTTCTAACACATAGAGTGAATTTTACAGATTTACCCTACAGATGAGATCCGATCAAACGAATATACATACTTGAATACACATGGCTGTGAGTACAGCGTACACTCACGACTTGTGAAACCAAAGTTTTGGCTATTAATAGACTCGTTGTTGAGCCTTTTGGCGTAGGATTTTTACATCTAAAATTTAAACGTGATAGTATAATAAATGTGTGCTTTTAGAAGCCTACGAATAGTGTTTTGCCAGCCTTAGAAATCCATTAGCAATTGTTACACAATAAACGAGAATGGAAAAAGCGTAAGTAGTAGGGATAAAATGGGCAAGCAATGCAGAAAAAAGTGTGGCACTTTCCATCTGTTTTCACATTCCCGAAGTTGATTCTTCAGTGAATACCTCGAGAAAGGAGATTAGTTTCGATTAACTAACTGCAGAGTGCATAGGGAATATCAGTTTTGAGGTGAGTTCAAACACAGTGTTAAAATGCGTAAAGGCTTCAATTTGTACAGAACGTTTTGCCACCGGATGTGTATTACAGTAAAGCAACTAGAGATATGCCAATTTTGGAGTTGATCTTAGTTAAACCCCCATCTTTCCTAGCAGGGAAAAAAAGCTGCCCGTACATTCCACTCTTTTCTGCCAGCAATACAGCTGCACTTGTAATCCCCTCCTATACCATAGTGTTGTAACCAACAAGCGTAGCTTATTCAATCATAATATAATAGTAATAATCAAACCCAATCATCACGTCAAAATGCGTCCGTGGTAGAATACTCGTCAGCCATCCACGCGGTCTGAGGTTCAATCCTTGGCCTACATTTATTTATTTTTATTTATTTATTTAAACGCATATAAACTTGGTACAATACGGCACCAAGAAGGATGCACCACACAATAATAATAAAACAATATAGATCAAAAAAAGAAAAAAATATAGGTAGAAAACGGATAAAGAACTTCATCCGGAAGGAAAACAGTCATGCTTAATAAATTCAAACAGTATTCGTTAACTATCATCGGGAAGGGAAGAAGAAAGGAAATTGCAACACGTGTAATAGCACGCGATAAGTTTCATTGATTGTTTGTTGCTTCATTCAATTCATTGTGTGAGGGCTGAGATACTGCCCTAGCGCCAAGACCGAAGCAGGTGGTTTTATTAAGGGACCAGCCCCCGAGCCTTTGACGAAATCTCAGCACGAATACAAGGGGCTCGTTTCGCATTTGTTAGTTTACGCCGACTCTGGCGTAGACGAGATGTTCGACTATCGACCAAAGAGCAGGTGTACTGCTCATCAGTCCGCTCCGTCCTCCTTTATTGTTGTGAGACCTGGCCACTCAGAGTGGAAGACATGAAAAGACTAGCTGTCTTTGATCATAGGTGCCTGCGTTCTATTTCCCGTGTAAAGTGGCATAATAAGGTGAGCAACATGGAGGTTAAGCGTAGAGTTCTAGGTAAACAGGGGAAATCAATCGACGAAGTCGTGAAGCTACAAAGACTGAGATGGTTAGGACATGTGTTACGTATGCCAAGCCATCGCCTCCCTCGACGAGCAATGTTAGCGGATATAGGGTCAGGCTGGAAAAAAGCTAGCGGAGGTCAAACAAAAACTTGACACCAGTCAATGAAATCCACAACAGTTGGTCTAAGCCACGTAGGAAGGTGTAGACTGGCTTGCTGGATGGGGTCCTCGGGACGGTAAAAATCTATGGTTGGAAACAACTGGTGACATGGCTCAAAACCGTTCTCAGTGATGGCGCAGATGCATCCACTCCCTGTGACTTATGATCTTCAATGAAACTGTTTTGTATTTCTTTATTACTCCTTTGTCTCACACCTCTGCTCACTGTTTCTATTATGCTTTTCTTGTACTTTCTTCTCTTGCTTCGCGTGCTACACGGAATGTGGCGACTTAAACTTCCGCACATTTGTGCAAAGTTCTATGTCGAAAACAGACAGACAGACAGACTTGGAGTTTAATCCGCAAGGCAGTGGAGCAGCGTCAGGAGCTGGATTCCCATGGTTTCCGGTGACCCATATGGGTTCATATGCCATTTGATCCGATTGGATACTGGAGCCCATGTACCCCATGGTAACTGCTTTTAGTTTACTCGCTATCCAAACAACCTTCTTGAGATGGTAGGATCTGCAGGGACAGAGTCCCAGTCAGTTTAGCATGTTGGGTCATTATGGTATTCAAGCCCGACCACCACGACAGGGTAGCAGTTATCGGCCGGGCCTTGGCCTATGCTCTCCTATGTCTCGCTTAAACCCGCTCACTACCTACCTGCCCAGCAAAAAAGCAGGGGGGCGGCTGATTGGGCGTAGGGGTAGCAATCCTACCCCGGAAAAAGAAAACACGACCGGCACTGAAATTTCAAGCTCAGGTTTGATTGTAGTTCTACGTTTCACTCGGGGGAAGGCAAGGGAATAAAATCAATTCACGTCAGAGTAGCGACCATCAGTTGGGGAGGGGGGTGGGAAGTAATTACTATGTATGAAAAGTTTATCCTACGATTTTCATAGATATGTAGGAAATATTTTTTTATTGCGTAGATGCGCCATCATAATAATCGGTATTTTACTGGTTATAGAGACTAGAGACTCTCCGTCTTTTTTAAACTTAACGTTTATTTTTGGAGAAGAAATTTCAACAAAGTAATAAGGATTTTATTGATTGGAAGTAATGTAAGTTGTCTTACATATTCTCTTTACTCTTTTAATCGGTCACCTTTGTTGTTGTTGCTGCTGCTATTGTCTAGTCCCCTACAGGTGGTCACTCCCTTGATAATCAAATGGTTGGAACAACGCATAACTACATCCCATCAGTGAATAATGAAGCTGTAACTACAAGTTGTGGTGGAAGTAATGATCAAATGGTGATTACATCAGCAGCTTCAGGTGTTCAATTTACAAATAATGCAGTAAATTTTCAATTGTCACCTGTTCGCGCCAATAGTACAGCAAGTTTAAGCGATAGTTCTGGTGACAATCCTGTCTCTATGGTTGGATTAACTATGGCTGTAAATATGAATGCAAATCCAGTCTCTTGTACTACACCTTGCAATGCTAATCCACTACCTACCTACACTAACCTGCACACATCTGTAAATCTGAATTCATCTTATCATCCTCAAGTGGGACAAGCAAATTTCAATTATCTAGGCTCTGCATCCAGTTTAAATAGTCCTATATCTCATGTTCCAGGTGGTTTAAACACCAACACCAGCACCACTGCCACCATTCCTATTGTAACTGGATCTGGTGTTGTAAACACTTTCAAATCTCATGTTGGAGTGCAAACAGATGAAGCTGTCACTTCGACGGTATTAATGAATGAATCTATTATGATAGAAGATTCTCAGTGTATAAATTCCACATCTTTGCATAACAATCCCCCTGCTGCTCCTCCTCCTACTTCTGCTTTATTTACTACGACATCTGGTGCATCTTTACCCGTGGTTATTACTGTTGAAAGTCTTCAACGGCGTATAGCTGACTTAGAGCATGAAAATGCTATTCAACGTGAAAGTATTACAAAACTTCAAGAAAATGCTCTTCGTTCTCGAGAAATGATACGTGAATTATTAATTGAAAAAGTAAGTAATGCGTGTTTTTAAATTTGCTGTATTTTATGTGTACTGTGTCATCAGTGGCGCGCACAGCCGTAGAATGCTCGCCAACCACTCAGGTGGTTCAATCTCCGGCCATTGAGTAAAAGAGAATGATGCTTAGGAAGGTTTCGTGTACTTTCGGAAGTGTGTGTGGGCGGTTGTTACTTTCCGGCTGCCCTCCACACCGTGGAAGTTGACTGATTTTTCGGGTACCTGAAACAGAAAGAGGGTTAGTGTTGCGTGGCCGCAGAGCCCAGGGGACAAATGCTTGTTACTGGTCGTTCACACACGGCCTGTATGAACTGGTTTCTGGGATTGGTTCCGTATTAGTAAACTTACCGCCGGTTACGGACCACCGTATGTGGTAAGTCAGGATGTACAATTTTTGGGGTTGACCTTTTCTAACCCCCTCTCTCTGGAGTGGAAAAATAGCATAGATGGCTGGCATGCTGGTCATCTAAGGGAAACACCTTATTGCTGTTACATCCCTGATCCCCGGTAGTACGACTTCACCCTCAGACCCCCAGCATAGTGTAAGAAAGATTCTTACACGATGCCGGTGACTGCTTTTAGTCTAATCGCTATCCTAACAACCTTCCTGGTATGATAGGACATGCACGGACGTTTGTTCCAACCAGTGTAGCTTGTTGGATCATCGTGATGTGCAAGCCCGACCACCACGTCAAGGTAGCAGCTATCGGTCGGGTCCGGCCACTGACATACTCCTTTAACTCGATGAGCCAGTAAAATAGGACTGGTAAAGAGGGAAGATTAGGTATGAGGCTAGCAACCCCATCCGGTAAAAATAAAAACTTCAAAACAATTAGTTCCTTTTATGAATTTAGATAAAGCAATAAAATGTAATTTGTCTGAATCGTGTAATGTGCATTTGCGCAACACATTTCGAACAATCTGATCACACACGTACTTGTCATAGGAAAATATATTTGTGAAAATAATAAAGAATTAAGAGGTGAGAAAATAGACTTATGTCAAGTTAAAAGGAACGTATTCAAGGTCAAAATAACAATGAAGACCACTAAACCAAACAGCAGAGGTATTAGTACATCTATCCTGGCTTGATATCAAAACAAAGTTTACGAAGGAAGGTAGGTTTAGTGTGGTGACGAATTGTTGCTTTGAACGCATAAAGGTGGTTTAAACTTTCTAATTGCTAGGGCTTCCACAAACTTTAGGATACGCCCCAAACACGTTTTATAGATAGGTTTAAAATATCTGTTAAGGTCAATTTTATGTCCTGTCTCTATAATATGTTTCGCAATAGAAGAGCTAGGTCTCCTTTTCTCACTATTAATGGGTTCTGAAGATTCCATTTGTTTTTGGAGCCATTTAGGAATATGCTCTGAAGCCAGTCCTTACTTGCAGAGATCGATGAGTCATCCCTTCTATGTATGTGTGGCCGCACGTACATTCAAATAGGTAAATACAGTGGGATGTGTCACCATTTTTCGCATGTTCAAAGGACTTAGATGGATAGATATATTGACTTCACATTCTTAATTATTATGATATTAGCTGCAGCGTTCAGTCTTTGTCTAGTTATCAAACTTCTATGATGCCCCATGTAGAGTAGCTTGATGCACACGTCTTTCTCAGGGGTGAGTTGTGGAGTGGGTCTTGTTGTTCCATTGACTACTTTATATCTCCTGATGAACTTGTCTGGATAGTAAAAATAAATACCAACCACTGCTACAGAAACTTTAAAAACGCTCTAGCCTGAAGTGCCCTATGTTCCACTGGGAACGTAAAGGAATTTTCTTGAAAAAATGTGTATTGCCATTATATATTCTACTCGGCTTTGTCTCTTCTATTTGTTGCTTTGAGCTCCTCCATGAGTCGGTGGCACAGTGGTTAGGACTCTCGCCGACCATGCATATGGTCCGGGGTTCGAGCCCATGCCGACGCACACCTGATATCTATGGTCGGCCTGTGAAATTTGGGCTACCGATATCCACGCTGAAAATTCCATACTTGTACCAAAAATACGGTGTGGAATCAAGCTGTAATCAAAAAATAAAAAAAAAATAAATATCAGAATTTTGTATTCACTCATAACTTTTCTGTGTGATCCTACTAATAAAATACACTTCAAATTCGTGTGTACACATATATCTTGTTTTATTTTTGTAGAGTCTATTAGAGAGAAAAACTACACGTCAAAAAGTCATGGAAAATCGTTTACGATTAGGTCAGTTTATAACTCAAAGACAAGGTGCTCATTTTGAAGAAAAGTGGATTGAAGGCTCAAGATTTAAAGAATTAGATCAGTAAGTTTTACGCGTGTGTTGATGGTGTGTGTGTGTGTGTGTGTTTAGTGTTGTACGTTAATTTAGACATTCTGCCTTCAGCCAAGCAGGGATAAATTCGTCTACTAAGTTTTAACACAATCCGAAACGATTATAACAACCTGTCACACACTATAGGTCAGATTGGTTGTTTAACTAAGTGAACTAGTGTGTGTACATTCAAGATGAATGAGATGACTGGAAGATTGGATAGAACACTTTGAGGAAAAGTTCATGTAGCGTACAACCATCCGTAGTCTTATGAAGATTAGATGGAATTTAGGGTTTGTAGCCTTGATCAATGGTGCATCAGTTACACCTACACCCATCGTTGGCACTTGGTTGGGACATGAGCACATATCTGCCAGCACTCATTGTTTTACTTTTTTTTTGTCAAGGATGCCCAGTACCACTGTGGTTATATGACCTCCTTGTAGACTTATTGAGGACTTGACGTGTTATCCCCAGGTAAAGCTGTCGTTGATCTAGTGAGAGTATGCAAATGTGATTAAGTCGTTCTAGGTGTGAACTATAAACTATAGTGTGATGACTATAAACTTAGTCTTGCGAACACGTTAACAGAGATTTGGTACGAGATTATTCAGCACTGTCAAATATGCTAGATGATTCTGCATGAGAGTGATCCTAACTGACTCTTAGTTTGAGTTAGGGTAGAGTGTAGTGGAATATTTGCATATGCTGACCACTTATTCGGATGTTGTGTCATCCCTGATGTGTACTGCTTGCTGAGATGGTCTCGTCACAAATTGGGAAGGCTTGTGCAGCATTTGCAACTTGTCATCACAGGATATATATGATAAATATAGTCAGGTTCAGTGTAGTGTTGGGCGGATGTTACTTCCCGGCTGCCCACACCGTGGAAGTTGAAAGAAGGTTAGTATTGTGTGATGGCCAGAGCCCAAGGGACAACTGCTTGACACCGATCACACACACGGCCTGTATGAACTGGTTTCTTGGATTGGTTTCGTATTAGTAAACTTACCGCTGGTGGTTATGGACCACCGTAGGGTAAGTCGGGATGTACAATTGTTGGAGTTGACCTTTTCTAACCCTCGCCTTTCTCCAGAGTGGAAAAACAGCATAGCTGACTGGCGTGCTGGTCATCTAAGGTAAACACCTCACTGATGTTACATCTCTCCTCCCCAACAGTACGACTTCGCCCACATATGATCCCCAGGATAGTGTAAAAAACAAGGAAATGTTACACTTTGACGGTGACTGCTTTTAGTCTAATCGCTATCCTAACAACCTTCCTGGCATGGTAGGATCTGCAGGAACAATAGTTCCAGGCAGCTTAGCTTGTTGGGTGATTGCGATATGCAAACCCGGCAACCACCACGACGTCAAGGTAACAGCTATCGGTCGATTGAGGTGGTTAGAACACGCATCATTCACGCTGGATCATTGCTTGTGTTGTCTCCACAAGCGATGTAAGCTCAAGTAGGATCAGACTGAAAAACAAAAGAGTTAAGAGTGTGATCGGATTAAAGCATGGCGTCAGTGCCTGAAGTTTTTGACTGTTGTTCTAGACGACATAGAGGGTTGAAGACTAGTGTGTGTATATTAGGGGTTATAGAGGTGCTATTGAAATCAATGGTTGCAAACTCCTTTGTAGTATGGTTTATCTATGTGTTTGTGTGTACGTTTACGAGTTGTGACAATTCGGATGGATGCACAATTATCCAAAAAGATGTACGGTATATAGAGCCAGTCAAGTTTATTCACCTGTGTCATTCGTAGAAGTGTCTCGCTAGCCAGACATTTGTAACTTTGTAGTGAACGTTGTTTTGTAAATGTAAATGTAGAACACAATCATCTCTTTCTACGTTTAACCGCCATCAATACAATATACACTTCATCTTTCGTTTTGTTTGTTTTTTGTAGACGTCGTAAAAATATTGAACATGTTCGTGAAGAGATTGAACGTAAAAAGAAACAATGGAATAAACGTAAACCAAATGTTGGTGAAGGGAAAAAGAGTACTAAATCTAAGTATGATGAGTAAGTTGTTGTTGTTGTCCTTCTTCCCCCCCCCCCCCTCAGTCGCCGACACACACACCTTTTCCTTTCTTTCTTTTCTGTGTTCATCTACCAGTTGTCTTAAAGTTTCAGGCAAGATTAATAAGTTAATAGAGGGAATTACTTCACTTCACTCATACCTACCTTCCTACATGATCTCATGTACCTGCAGTGATATGTTTCAGAGTCGATCTCAATATGTGTATGTTATAATTCCCTTTAACACTTTTAACTTACTACATTATAGATGTAGATCCCAGTTCGATTCCCAGTCGTTGAACTCTTAAACCTCACCTATCCAGTAGTAAGTCGTGAGCCTATTAAAGTGAGGAAGTTGAACGTGAGGCGAGGCTAGCGACTCTACCGCTGTGTAAAGACGACTGAAAGTAGTACTAATACTTCAAAGCTTCAGGCCCCTATGTTCCACTTGGAACTCATAGAAATAAGGGAGAGAGATATGATGTTAAGGTTAGAGACAATATATCGGATGTCTCTAATTATATAAACCTCAGTAGCTTAAGTGGAGTTCGAAATCGTGACCCAGTCAGTGGAGTGATGAAAAGCATTCGTTTAGATAACCGATTTACAATCTCGATATGATAGAGAAGATTTGTAGCTCAAGTGGATGATTTTGATGTGGTCGTGTTCTCTGAGCTGGTGAATGGTTCATTTGCGGAGCTTCCATCTCCCCGCCTTACTAGGCGACATCTTCAGCGCATACTTCAATTCGTTGAATTGAGCTTCTAGATTTCTCCACTACTTTATTAATCATCTCTCCTGGTGACCTCACATTGAACGTCGTGATTGGTTGTTTTTGTGTGTTTTCACACCATCTAGGTTACTTGTATTGTAGTGGTACTGATTGTTTCCCCATGACTTGAACTTTGACCCTTTGTGTGTTAGGTTTCTTTCTTATCGGTTGATAAATTTTGTCTATCTCGATGTGTCTATCGATTGATTGATGATTCACTGGAATGCCAAGCTTCTAAAAATTCTCTAGCATTCTAGTTGTTTCCTCCGTCTAATATTTGAACGTTGGTTGTCCCAGTCGAATCGATGTCCGTGGTTGTCTGTATGCAGTGAGGTGATATGAGGGAGTGGATATCATATCTTTTGACAGCTAGATTATGTCCGTAGATACGAAGACGATGGCGACGTCCACTTTGGCCAATGTAGTGTTTTTGGCAGTTGTTACAATTCATTTTGTAGATTTAGAATCTCTTATGAAAGGCTTTAAGGACCAACTGCCATAGTCCAGTTTATTCTCAAGGTCTTGACAATCTATTGATGCTGCACACTGCGGATACGGTTGGGAAGGAGGCGGGTTGTGCAGGTTCACCCAACTGATTAGTCTCTTCTGGACTTTGCCGCCAACCGCCATCAAACAAATGACTTTATGTTAACCTTCAAACATAGTCAAAGTGTCCATACTACGAGTTGGCATGTCAATAGAAAACGAGTATTTGGATTGGAGACAGTCTAGGAACTGGCGCTCTATGCGTTTAGTCCTCGGTGTTGGATCAGACTGAATTATGTTTAGTCACTTTTGCAGTGTGTGGCTGGCATATTAGATTGCTCTCTATCACAGTGCATTCTGGATTGTTACAATGATGGTTGAAGGCAATTGGCAGGGGGACGCTATCTGGGTCTGGGTTTCGTGTTTGTTGGCAGTCATGGTTAGTAAGGAAATCATGTTGCTTCTGAGATTCGAATCCGAGTCACACCCGATTACTGTAGTCAGAATGGTGGGGGAGAGAGAAACTTTACCCTTAAGCTATTCGAGATTACGACTGACGACCTCCTGTAGTAGGACTCTCTGCTCAATTGTGCTTTTTCACTTTACCACTGTGAAATCTTGCTGTCGTCTGTCGTGTTTTATGCTGTTGTCACTTATTGTGGTGACTCATATTATTATTCTGTAATGATGTTTAAAAAATATCGTTTGTTTATTTATTTTTTTGTAAAGGGTTTCTGTAGATGAATTTTATGAACAATTGGAAATCTATGATCTACGTAAACAAATGCTTGTTAAAGAAGATAAAGAAATTCAAATGGAATTAGAACGTTTAGATAGGGAAAGAAATTTACATATACGTGAAATTAAACGAATTTCAAATGAAGATGCATCACGTTTTAAAGATCATCCATTGTTGAATGAACGTTATCTATTGCTTAATTTACTTGGGAAAGGTGGATTCTCTGAAGTACACAAGGTTAGTTAGTTAGTTGTATTTCCCCTTTCCTTTTTTGTCTTTTCTGTATGCATTTTCATACTGTAGGAGTTGAGTTGATTCATTCAGTGTCAACGATCAGTTTGTGATCAGTGGTGAATTTGCTTTCAAGCCTTCTAAGTCCCCCTCCCCCCTCCCATATATTTCAAATGTATGGTGTTGCTTGACAGTTTAAGGCGTTTTATTTTATTTGAAGAGAGTTTAGAATATGCCTCATCAGTCAGTCAGTCAGTGGATTCGACACTACAGTAATTCAAAAGCCTACTTGACTTCGCGGTATAGAGCTCCCTCCCTCTTGTGAAAATAAGGAAAGATTAGATGTCATAGTCCACTGTACTTATTTTGTCTCAATAAATGATTAGTCTTTGCGACTGATAGTTACAGCTTCGATTCCTTACAGTTTTATTTTGTTTATATTATTATTAAAACGAAAAGTTGGCACATTTTCCATGGGCACCAAGAGGAGAAACACCACACAAAATCTCATGGTTAGTTAGTGTGTGAGGGTTGGGATACTGCTCGGCCGCCTAGACCCCGAAGCAGGTGGTTGTCTTGGGAGGCCACCTTCCGCACAGCGAGCCTTCGACATGAAGCCTGATCCATAAGGCAGTGGAGTAGCATCCGTCAGGAGCTGTGTTCCAATGGCTTCCTGTGTCTAAAACATGTTCATAAGTTATTCTATCATTTCTGATTATGGAGGCCATCTACACCCCATAGGTTTAGAATGTGAGGGTTTCATATCTCCTTTACCTACGTTGACCTTGATGTCCACCAGTTCGGTTGTAAGCGGTAAACATCCGCATTCGCGTTCACTTTTGTGAGGAACACTCCAGCCAAGTAAAGACAGAGTGAACAAACTGTAAACGCGTGGCCACATGAGGGTATTTTGGTCATAACAATTTGTTTTTGGGGGCTTACACTTCTACGAGGCATGCACACTGTTAGGGAGACTCAAAATAGAATGATGAAAGAACTATCCACCTTTGATTGATTTCTGTAGTTAGTTCCACTTTGAGATCAATTAGTAATTAGTCACCTCTCTATCTCAACTTCATCGACTTTGAAAAGGCCTTCGACAGTGTCGATCGAGAGGTGATTTGGAAACTATTTCGCTACTACGGTGGGCCATCGACAATTATGCATCTCATCCAACAGTTAAACGACAATGCTGCATGCCAAGTAATCCACAACGGGAAACTCACGGAATCCTTCGAGGGAGTGAAGATGGGAGTAGGACAAGGTTAGCTGGCTGGTGCCTACTATCGCCAATGATTTTCCTGATTGCAGTAGATTAATGCGACAGACAACTGGAAATGAGGAAACAGGCATGAAATGGACCCACACAAAAAACTTGGAGGATCTGGACTTCACCGATGATATATATATCTGATTTCCCACAAACTGGAAGATATGCAGGTGAAAAACAACAAGTTGGTGGGGGGGGGGTGGGGAAGAAGAATCCAAAGAAGGTGGGACTTCAGGTGAACATAAAGAAAACAGAGATAGATGATGAAGATTCCTGGCCAACACCAACAGCTACAACAACAACAGACAACAATCAGCCAGCGTTAATGGGAGGAACCTGAAAGAAACAACCTCCTTTGCTTACCCACGAACTTGGGAAGCATCGTTCCAACCACAGACGAACGGAACTGACCAGGATATCAAAGCAAGAATCGGAAAAGCAAGACAAGCTTTCATTACTCTCAAGTCTTGCGTGGAGGCCAACAGCACTCAGAATGAAAATCAAAACAAGATCCGGATTTTCAACTCCAATGTTAAGTCAGTTCTACGTACTATACGGATCAGAGTCTTGGCGCGTCATAAAGAGCATTTCAAACAAACTTCAGACCTTCATTAACAGTCGTCTTCGCTCAATACCACTCAAGATCAGATGGCCGGCCAGAAAGATCAGCAACAGGGAGGGGTCTCTGGGAGCGAATCAACCCAGCAGGAACCGATTGTGCAACTAATAGGCACGAAGAAATGGAGTTAGGGTTGGCTGGCCATACTCTGAGGAAACCATCAAGTGACATCACTAGATAGGCCATCACTCGCGTAGAACCCGAAAGGGAAGCAGCGAGTTGGTCGTCAGTGCGATGGTGGGGTGACTTGGAGGAGGTGATGTAAGGAGGAGATGAAAGCATGTGTGTAGGTGTGGAGCCAGGTGAAAACTCTAGCAGAGAACCGAAGGCAATGGAGACGCGCAGCTGAGGCCCTATGTTCTTCTAGGAATTAAAGAAAATAATAATAACAATAATGTGATCAAATCTTTTGTAGTCAGATCATCAATATATGATTAAAAACAGTCATTAAAGTTTTTTCAAAAGAATTGTTACTGAACAAGGAGACTACTCTTTCGATAACCCCCCCTTCATCAAGTTCTACAGTTATATGCACATAATAGTAGTGACTTCATTATTATTATTATTATTATTATTATTATTATTATTATTATTATGAACAACATTAATGTTGTTCAATAAATAACATCGAATCAATCACAGTAATATCAACGGATTACAGTTCGGCAGCATCAACATAACAGTACACACTGAATATCAGGCACAGAAATTAGGAGAGATAATAATACAATGAATTCATGGATTTATAGTCTCTACTGAAGGCGCTGGCCAGAACAGCAGTAGTAGTATTGGCTAGCTGGACTTGCTTCTTCTGCACACTGGGATCACTTGGTGGTTGTTTCAGGCGAATAACGATAGCTTCAACCGTTTAGAGGATGCGGTGCCTGGATGTTTTTTCTGGTAATTTATTTAGTATCCGGTAGATGATGGAGAAAGATTCTTGAATACTAGCTAGCTTTGTGGTCAGAGATGGTCTAATATCGACCTGTTGATAGTGGTTTTCACTACACACCTTTATTTGGACAGACTGGTATTAGGTATTCCAAGGAGAATAGGAGAAAAATTAAGTTCCTAGAGCAACGGCCAATGATAACTGACTGCACCACAAGCGCAGTTGAATTAGTAGATACAATTAGAAGTTGGAGGGATTGAACGAACTTTTTTCTGTACACAGAGATCTGGCTTTTCTGTTTCGATAGCCAAAGCTTCAGCAATACAACAGATGAGTCGGGTACGTAGGGATTTGGGTAAATTACTCTTTGCCTTGTAGATGACTTTAAGGGCTGAGGCTGTAGAGATCATTGGGTGATCATTATCGACCAGATGTTCAATGATCGCGCTTCTTATTGCTCCACTTCCACCTTTTCGTAACAACCATGCAGGATAGTGCTCTTGCACCCTCTTGGACAAAACTCAAGTCAACCGGCCGATATAACTAGCTCCACACGAGCAGGTGAATTGATAAACAACAGCGGGATTTTGTTCTTCAGGTTATTGAACAATAATGGTCGGCTAGTAAAGGCTATTCTCAGAGATGCAGCAGGGAATGTTCTTTTCAGGAACTGTGTTACCTTTCGTTTCATGATATCAGAACCTAAGTCCCATTTGAATTCCAAGCTTCATGTAAAGTATTTTCTTGGGTACGATTGATAAGTCACGTTTTATAGGATTTGAATGTATATTCTTATCTATAAAACGTGGTGGAAATCCATTTCCTATTAGATTTTTCCTCATAATGTATAACTCATCTTCCACAGTATCCGGGCTACATATGCGCTAAATGCAAGTGGCAAGAAGTCGTTAGTCTTGGTACTTCATCTTTCAATTAAGGAATCGTAACCGGGTGTGTAGAAAATATGACTTTGAAGTTTACCAGCATTAAAAATTCTTTGATGAATGGATTTTCTTAACTTATTCGTAATTATTTTAACAAGGTGCGTCGTCATCCTTGAGTTGAAGTCGCATATATAGAAAGGCTTCTTATTTACATATATGGGGAATAGTCTCTGCTTTTTTGATGAACTTTTCTGCGTAGCTATTTTCGACCATGGTATTACATATACATCGATAATTCTCTTTTAATTTACCATGTTTAATGACTTTTCATATTTTATGTTTATTTTTTCAAAATTAAGGGTTTTGATCTTGTCGCTAATCGTTATGTTGCTTGTAAAATTCATCAACTCAATCCTGCTTGGCCTAAGGATAAAAAAGATAATTATATAAAGTAAGTATATAACTTATATTGAAAGTCAGAAATCGGTGTTATAAAGTATTTACATTATTTTGTTAATAAGAGGGTGGAGATGTTGTAGTTGTTCATTGGGGTGTGCAAGCACTCAACTCCTAGCCAACGGGTCCTGAGTTCGAATCCGACTCCACCCCTCACTCCACCTACTCCATCCTAAGCATCAGCTAGGGTACTATCATTAAGCTCTCAGACACACTAAGTGTAGCTCATATCGCCCCAATATATCGGGTAACTGTGTCTGGTGGTTTAACTGTTAACAAAGGGCTGTCATTGGTTAAAATATAATGAAAGTGTTACGACGTTTATATCCTATTTTGTAGTTTGGTTTGAGTGGTTTTTGTTTTCCATATTCCTTCGCGTTCCCAGTGGAACATGGTGCTTCAAGTTAGAACTTTGAAGTTTCGGTAGCAATGGGTTTATTGCTAGTCTCACGCCAAACCTTCCTTCCCTCTTTGCTGGGCTTATACCCGTCTAAAGTGAGGTTTGGTAGTGCGTTGGCCAGAAGTAGAGAACCTTTGCTCCATCGACGCATGGTTTGGGTGGTAGCCATATTAGAATACCTTTAAGCTACTGCAGTGCATGTCGACTCTCTGATTACTCTTTCGAAATTATTCACTCCTATTGAGCGAGATAATATAAATGATTGGTTACATGATTTCATCGTGAGCTGACATTAGTTAGAGAGCCATTGGAAAACCTGGGAGTACTGGACAGCTGTTTCGTCCAAGTTTGGAATTCTTCATCAGTATGCACCCACTGCCAGTGCTCAAACCCAGGACCTTCTGGTTACAAGGCCGACGAGCTCGTATATCATTAAGCCACTGGGGCCTGTTCCAATGGTACTTGAATTCTAACTTCTGCCAATTCACTCACGATACAGCGCGACCGCTAGCCAATGTCTTCGCTGGCGAGTTTTTTTCCTCACACTCGACCTGCTGCACCCTACCGGTCACGACTTCCCACTGGAACCCAGGTAACTACCTACCTGAATAGGGCCAGTCGCCAGTGAGCATTTTCATTTGGGGGGCGAGGGTGTTATCTGATCATTTTTGGCACTTATCTGATAAAAATGCATTCATGAAATTTCTCTTTCCTGAAATAAATATTGGACTGTGTCATTTTACCCTTCAGGTATATGTGTATTATCGTTTTTATAAACACCTTCCGTTTTTCATTTAAAAAATGGTGTGTGTATGTGTACACCTGTGGTAAAGTTGATTATATGAATAATAGTGTCTGGTTAACATGAGATTGTCAATCAATATTAACTTGATAGCTTGATTTTCAACCATATCAATCAATTTATTGGGTTCCAGTGTCATCAGAACTAATTTGATGATCTAAGTAATCTTGACGAAATCTTAGTACGGAGTCAGAAGAGGCTCGTTCCGCATTTACCTGCCAACTTATGCCATCTCTCGTTTAGTAAACGTGATACCCGGCTGGTTATCTATCACAGGGGACGTGTGTACTGCACAGCTGCAGGAGTTCTCTCGATGCTTCTTTATGACTAGCTGTGAGTGAGACATAACTATTGAAAGGGGAAGATATGAAAAGACCGGCTAACTGTCTTTAATCATAGGTACCTCCATTCTGTCTCCCGTGTTAAGTGGTATCATTCAGGTGAGTAATATGGTGTTGAGGTTAGGTGTCGAGTGAGTATTAGGTAAGGAGGGAGAATCAATTAATGAGGCTATGAAGCAGCTGCATCGATTGAGTGAGATGGTTTGGACATGTGTTGCGTATGCCTAACTATTTATCGATCGCTTTCCTCGGCGGTCAATGTCAGTTGACATTAGGTTAGATTGGAAAAGGAAGAGCTAGTGGTGTGGTCAAACCAAAAAATGGCTTCAGCAGTCTCAATCAAATCCATAACAGGTAGTTTGATCCAGCCACTTGGGGAGATGTAGACTGGCTTCCTTCCTGTGACTGGTTAGTTTCCTCGGGATGGTAAGATCCATTTTAGGCTGGAGACAAAAGGTGATGTGGCTCAAAATCCTTAACGAATGCCATATTACATCATGTGTGTGTGTGTGTGTGTGTAGGACAAGTATCGATTCACAGGGTGTAGTTATAATACGTAAAACTTTACACAGAAGTGCAACAGGTCAAGTTGCCACATTCCCAAGGTATAGGAAAGAAAGAAGAAGACGTGGATAAAGTCAAATGATGATCAGGAGGGCTTCGTGTGCTTTTGGAAGTGTGTGGGCGATTGTTGTTACCTTTCCTCTTCTTGGAGTACCTGGAAGAGAAAGAGAATTAGTGTTGCGTGTCCACAGGGCCGCTTAGGTGACAACTTCTTCAGGCCACCGGTCACACACGGCCTGCTTGAACTGGCTTTTACGTTTGGTTCCGTATTAATAACTTATCCCTACGGCTACGAATCCCCGTATTGTGGGTCAGGATGCACAATTTTTGGGTTGGGGTTTTCTAACCACCTCTTGGGCGCTTGCCTATCGAAATCACCCAACGAACTACACTATCTGAGACTAATGTTCCCGAAAGTCCTACCATGGTAGAATTGTCACTTGGGTAGTAGTCAGAATAAAAGTAGTTACTATCGTAGTTTAACTCATGTGTACCATGTTGGGTGTGTTTGGACGAAGTTGTACTGCCGAAATATGTATTGGGATGTGTAACATCAGTAGCATGCTTTCTTCAGATGACCACAGTTACCTATCCGCTTTGGAGAGGAGTAGGTTAGGGAAGGTCGACTCTGAGAACCATACATTCTGACTTACATCTCAGCGGTATAGTAGCCGGCGATAAAATCTAAATGTCATAAAACAACTTGAAAAAACCCACTTCAAACAAGTCGTATGTGACATGTCTCAAGCAGTTTTGTTCCCTGGGTTCAGGCGTCACGTAACACCAATCCGCACCTGCTGTCCTAGGTACTCCACAAAGAAAATGACTTCCACAGTGTGTAGGCAGCTAGGAAGTATTATCCATCTACACACTTCCTGACCTTGAAATAGTCAATGGTAAAATGGATAAGTTTGATGGCTAAATAAAAACAGATTTTTGAAAAAAATGGAGTTTACTCTGAACGTTTAGAATTTAGAGTAAAGTGTAAAAAACACTTGTGCGTGAGACTTTGTGAACAATGTTTGAGTTATTTCGCTAATCGTCTCCGGCAATTGATTCAGAGATCACCCTAGCCCCTCCCCCGGTCAGCCTACATCTAAGTATATTTAGCTTACAATCAAGAGTGATAGTCTTCCTACTTTTGACTTGTATTTTGTTTTAATTGCCACTGATGATTGTGGATTTTGAAAAAGGTCGGGGGGTGGGAGTGGACACTACTTCTACCAAGATCGTTCATCGAAGAAGAGCACATGGTCACTTGGTATGCGCCACACATATATCCTAGCTAGCTTCTCCCTTGGTTTATCTCATACAACAACATAAAACTGATCGAATATCACATCTCATTTGTTTTTGGGTTTTTTCTCGGGACTGTTCTTCACTGACTGACTAGTGTCTACTTATTTTCTATTTAAGTAGTTTAATTTTAATGACTGCAATTTTCATCAATATTTCCCAATTTCTTTATACAGACATGCACTTAGAGAAATTGAGATTCATAAAACGCTGAATCATCCAAGAATAGTAAAAGTTTTCGATGTATTCGATATTGATCATGATGCGTAAGTCTTATTCTTGATTGCACTAAATTGACGAGTGAATAATGATAATGTGTTAGGATTTTATTATTTCAATGTTATCTATTTTATACTTTTTGGGGATATTTTTGAGTTGATTTATATTATTTGATAAAGGTTATTCTCGCAGATAGTCTAACTAATAGAGCGTGAAACAATAAAAGTCATGCTTCCTACCACCTACTCAGGCTATTCAGCGATGCACATACAAATAGTGAATTTACCTATGGAACACAGAAGTGATGGAAAGTTCCAACTACTTGACATTGCCATGCATCGTCTCGAAGATAGTACTCTTCAGAAGTCAATTTACCGAAAGCCTACATGGTAGGGACAATACTTGCATTTTAATAGTTTTTCTTCAAATAGATTTAAACGCGGACTAGTCAAGCCTGTATACCATAGAGTTAGGAAGATATTGTGCTCTACGGGGAAATTACAGGGGTAATTTATGTTTCTCGAAAAGATGCTGAAAAAAGCAACGGTTACCCTCAAAAATTCACATTAACATGTAAGAAGATCTGAAGGCTCAAACATATATATATATATTGTTATATGCGTATATTGATTGATTTTTGTTTAAAAATGAACTGTCTGTGCAAGTATGTTAAAATTGTTTCTGCAGATAAATTTTGCAATGCCTTTGGGCTGCCAAGCATCTGAAGGAAAGCCGACGAAATAAACAATGATGGTGTCATTTTATGCTGAAAAACTCTTGTTCTTGCTTTTTTTTTTCAAATTCACTGCAGGAAATAAATGTATGAAGTATCTTATTTTTGCTGAATGCGAGGAATGTTCGTATGAATGTAATGTTGTAGTTGGGTGTGGCTCTAACCTGGTACAAATGACACCTGAGTGTGAGATGTAGAAAGCGCGGGGGGGGGGAGCAGCTTGAAGAAATTCCGAAGACTTTTTCACCAACTCGGTGTGTCATTTTTCGCCTTTCCAAATTTCAGCGATAAAAATTAGTTTATGCCCTAGCATTTTTAATATTTCCATAGCAGTTTGATTGGTTTTCCGAAAATAACTAACCAACCAACAACAGCAACATCCAGCGCCAATCACCATCAACGGGAGGGATTTGAAAGAGGTTACTTCATTCGACTACTTATCTAGCACTCAGCATTGTCTCAACTACAGGAAGTCGGAACGGACGAGGATGTCAAATCGAGCGAGAATCGAATCTGGAAGGCGAGCGAGAAACACATCAACATCATCAACCTGAAACAACCAATCTGGAAAACCAATCTTCGTCACTCAGCCAGCATCAACAACCAGAGAATTCGGTCGGATTTTCAATACAAACAACGTCAAGTCAGTCAGTTCTTCTATACGGAACGGATGAGAAAGTTGGCGGGTCACAAAGAATATTTCCAACCAACAGGCTATTGCAGACCTTTATCAACAACTGACTGTCTTCGCTGGATCTATACTGAAGATCAGATCAGACGGCCGGGCCGGAAAGAATCACCAACTATTGAAAACTACGGGAAGAAACAAAACAAGAACAAACCAATCGCCAACCAACAAATATGCAGGCAGGAGAAAGTGGAGATGGATTGGACACTCACTGAGTGAGTAGGTGGCTGGGTGACATCGTGCGCGCGTCAGGCCATTGCTCGAGTGGAACCCGAGAGAATGGGAAGCGGCAAGTGGGTCGTCAGTACAAGGGTGACATGGAGGAGATCGTGTGAAGAGGAGTTAAAAGCGTATGGACTAACATGGATGGATGTAGGTGAAAAGTACAACAGAAGGAAGACAGAAGTGACAAGTGGAGACGTGCAGTTGAAGCCCTATGTTTGATTAGGAACCCAAGGGAACAATAATAATAATTGTTTGATTGGTTTTCCGAGGTGTAGGGTCTCGTTAGACAGCCTCACTTCCAACCCTCCCTGTTTTCCCGGGCGTTTGGACCAGTTATATATACATATAGCAACTGAATATGTACATATGTATTGAGTACAGAAATTGTCAACATCTTGGAGTTATTTGTATGTGTGAGTTTGTTTCTTTCTCATATTTTTGAGTTAATTCATCTCTATTTTTTATTTTTTTATTATGTTTTCGGCTTATGGTATACAGTTTTTGCACAGTACTTGAATACAGTGAAGGCAATGATCTAGATTTCTTCCTTAAGCAGAATAAAAGTATCCCTGAACGTGAAGCCAAGTCAATTATCTGTCAAGTGGTATCTGCTTTAAAGTATTTAAATGAACGTAAACCCCCGGTAATCCATTATGATTTGAAACCAGGTGAGTAGACATGCATACATTTGTATGTGTGATTATTTTAACTTATTTTGATTTATTGATTGGTTGGTTGACTGATCGATTGATTCAGTGATTGAGTTTCAACGTGGAACTTTAGAATGGACACTAATTAATAATTAGTGTAATGTATCGAGTCTCTTTTGTCTGGTAAAGACTGTATTCCCGACCGATTGCTGCTATCTTGGCGTGGTGGCGGTCGACCGTGCATATCGCGATAACCCAACAAGATATACTGTCTGAAACAAATGTTCCTGCAGGTCCTACCATGCGATTAGACTAAAAACAGCTGCCAGCATCGTGTAAGAATCTTTGTTACACTATGCTGGGAGTTTGAGGGCGCAGTCGTACTGGTGGGAATCAGAGATGTAACAGCAGTAAGGTGTTTCCCTTAGGTGACCAGCATCCCAGCCAGCTATGCTGTTTTTCCACTCCAGAGAGTGGGGGTTAGAAAGGGTCAACCCCAAAAATTGTACATCCCGACTTACCCTACGGTGATCCGTAACCGGCGGTATGTTTACTCATACAGGACCAATCCCAGAAACCAGTTCATACAGGCCGTGTGTGAACGACCAGTAGCAAGCATTTGTCCCCTGGGCTCTGCGGTCACGCAACACTAACCCTCTTTCTGTTTCAGGTACCCGAAGGCAGACTGAATTCTATGAGTTACGTTTGCAATCTGTAGACACCATGCTGCTAGGTGGTGGTGGCGGCTCGCCATTACGGTGCTATAAAAGGCGTTACTACTGATCAGCACGGCGTGACTGACACGGGTTTGAATCACAGTGGCAACTAGCACGAAATCTATGGCGTGCAAGGCTTCCTGCCGATTGCCTCCAACCATGTCATATTACCGTAGAACTTAGCACAGAAGTGCTGAAGTAGTTCAAGTCGTCGTAAATTCCATATAGCACATGTATAAGTAAGGGGAAGACTGATTGAAAAGCGAACTATAATCAGAGGAAATGTGAGGAAACAACCGTTACCACACCACTATTCAGGGTCATAAATGTGTGTTATCGCGTCGACTGGTATCGTATCATTCTTTTTCCCTTATTTATTAGTTTACCGTTGAAATTGAAAGGTTTTTTTTTTATTTTTTCATGTGTGTGCTTGAACTACCTAGCAACATGTCCCTCACAACCCTTTCTTTCTATAAAGTCATACGTACCTCGATTGTGTGTGCTGCTCAGCAGTTTTCCACATCCTCGTTTGCTTCTGATTCTAGGAATCGTACCGTGCCAGCCGAAAGCGCAACTGTGGGAGCTGTTTATAGTCATTTTTTATATACCTCCACTCCCTCCCTCCCCACCCGCCTACATGGCTGGCTAAAACCATATAGTCAAGAGATTTCATGAACTGGTTCGAGTTGATTTGATTTTCACCAACTGCCGCAAACATCTGTTTTTCAAAGGTAGAGTGAACTGTTGATCGATAGACGGATATCACATCCATGCCAAAAATGTAACGTCAGTTGACAAATACCAAAACGAGCTGATTTACTCATCAGTGGGCATTTTATTTGTGTCTTTATTTCTTTAATACGTAGTGGTGTCTGTGTGTGCGTGATAAGTATTTGTGTTCGGTATTTTGTAAATGGTATGGATATCTAAGCATAGAAATATTTCTGGATGTTAAATATTTTCCCCCTATCATCATTCTAACACATTTCACTGCACACTTTAAATACGATGCAGTGCTGTTAGTCTTTTATTCTTATTGCACATCTCATTTAGTACTTCACATTGAATAATCTGGAATGTAAAGAGACAATGTAAAGGCTTGTAATGACTGTAATGTCTGACTAAATCAAATTTAGTGAAGATATTCTTTGTGGTAAAACTCCAAGTGATCCCTTTTCTAAGATCTGTCCATTAAAACATTCCAATTTAATTTCAACTTTGAACAAAGGAAGAAGAAACATTGGCGCAGAACAATCTGGATCCATTTTATTTCGTTGGTTCTCATCAGCAGCTGCGTACAACCTGAAGTTTTTAATAACAATAAAAAGTGTACAATTTTAACAAACCTTTATCCATTAGGAAGCCTACTGTCAGAGCGTCATGGTAAAATAAGGCGCTGAGATTTACAGGGTGTCTAAAGAGTTACGACGTATATATATATATATATATATATCTTGGTAGAGAGAAGTTTCTTGAAAAAAATTTACTAACTGTTGTGTTGTTGGGATGGTAACAAAAGAAAATTAGCAATAGTTACGTAATTAGATAAGAGAAGATCAGAATTTTTGCAATTCCGGTGCACATGAGGTCAGATGAGAAGTTGATGATGTAATACAGTGAGCAGAACTCAGAAGATCAAGAAAAATTATCGCTTAAGAGAGTCAAGAGAAAAATAAAGAGGAGGGGAGTGAAAAAATAAGTTAACAAAATTAGAAAACAAAGAGTTACAGAGAAGTGAGTTACCAGGGTAATTGAAGTCCAACAACGGATTCTTTTTAGACACATAAATCAGGCTTCAATCGTTTTATTACTATAGCTTCAGCAAACCTGAGAAGACTTGAAGTACTTTGTCTGTTAATTATTATGAATGATTCCAGCACATCTACTTGGTGTCCTGTGTCAATCAGATGTTTGACGATTAAAGAGCTGAAACAATTCGGTCCCTTTAACCGAAGGCTCCTTGGTACACGTTCACAGAATCTGACGTAGGCCTTCCTCTCTGTTCTTCCAATTGGAAGAACACTTTTTATTATTTATTTTTATTAAAAACTTCAGGTTGTACGCAGCTGCTGATGAGAGCCAACGAAATAAGATGGATCCAGATTATTCTGCGCCAATGTTTCTTCTTTCTTTGTTCAAATTCATAAAAGGGAATCATTGTATTAATTTCGACTGTTAGATTTCATCACGAATCAACGTCATTCAGAGAGAGATTATTAAAAGTCATCAAGAAGCCTTGAAAAGCTGCTCGTCCTATTTCTTAGAAATGACCGTTTCACATCTCCGAATTGACAAAGGTCATAAAATCCACGAGTCAATTGCATTCCATTGACTCAAGTGGCTGAGTGGTTGGTCAGTTAGAGAGCTTGATCTCATAACCTGAAGATCCTCTCCCGGATTCGATCGCTAGGAGAATCTCTCACTCATAGGTGCTCACTGGTGAAAGACTCCTAAAAAAATATGATGGAACAGATGCTCGGTATTCCCTGATATCCAAGTAGTAGTAGTCTCTTAAACGGATATTGGATTCCTGATGAAATCGAACAATATTCTGCATACTCATATATTATCATGCACTGTTATAAATTGATACAATTTTTTGTCTGCAGCATTTATTGATTTATTGATCGATTGATTCGTTCTTCCGTTGATTGATTCCTTGCAGGAAATATTCTCTTGGGTTCTGGTCAAGTTGCTGGTGAAATTAAAATCACTGATTTTGGTTTAAGTAAATTAATGACAGAGGATAAATATAATCCAGAGACTGGAATGGATTTAACATCACAAGGTGCTGGCACTTATTGGTATTTACCACCGGAATGTTTTGAAACAGGCCGTGAACCGCCGAAAATTTCATCAAAAGTTGATATTTGGTCTGTTGGTGTAATATTCTTTCAGTGTTTATTTGGTAAAAAGGTGAGTTTGTTGTTTAATAAATTGCGGATCGGGGCATAATTGCATGTTTTAGCTTCTAGAATTACTACAGTTATCCATGTAGTATATATATGATCTAAGGAATCATAGCCGATTTAATGAGCCATTTTAAGGTATGTACTTAGACATGCATGGCTTAATCTCTGAGACAAGCATATGACTACTGGCAGAATCAACCAGTTTATTCACACAGTGATACACCCATTGGCTGGGTATTGGTTTTCAAGAGAACCAAACACACCCATCCCTGCTTCTTGCGAGATGAGACCGGCATGCAGGATCATTCTGTGGCGCAACCACTCGAGCCCTCTCCCTCGCGGTGGACCGTTTGTATACATAGTAATACATAGGTAAGCACTGTTACGCCGATCATTGATCGCGTCAATCAATTGTGCACTGCATAGACAAGCTCAATAGAACTCATACAACGCATACAAGACTAACCAAACATATTATTATGTGCAAAAGTAGCACGCATAGCGAGGCTATAGTGACAATAGGCCCCCTATAAACGAAGCCAGCAGCCACCAAATTCAATGAAATCGTTTTCCCTGCCAACCAATTTAACATGCGAATAGCTTCTATACGTCCACCAAGACTCTAGAAAACCGTACACTGTCATATAAACCAGTCATGAGAACAATTTAACCCACGCTCATATCGTCTGTATAGCTTATGCGTGTTTACTATAGGATTTTAGGGTTATAAGCAAGACAGACTAGCGGGGCTCTATTAGGCCTAGACAAGCTCAAAACCGTGTGGTCACAGACACCATAACACGTTTCACGCATTCCTCTATCACATTTGGAAGCGTTTTTGAAATTTTCAAATTTTCGACTTTTTTGGACCCGAGTTATGGGTGGTATCCCTAATCGGTAGCTTTTCAGCTCGGGTTCTGGTTGGTGCATGCGGATGAAGAGTCTCAATTTGAGATGAAACTGATGTCCGACTGTCAATGGTTTTATGTTGATGATACAGTAATAGAATACCCGCTAATCACGTATGTAGTAGTCTGGAGATTTCGGTTGCTTGCCAATGTACACTTTAACCTCTCTGAACCGGTAAAGAGGAAAGGTTGGATATGAGACTAGCAATCCCTTGCCCCGTAAAAGGCACACCACTGTTACTAAAGCTTCCGCTCGGAATGTAAAGAAATAAAGAGACTTTTTAGGGATTGATATCTTGAAAAGGGCATTTTCGGTGGTTAAGACAATGAAATCCCCAACAGTCAGTCTAAGCCAGCCACGTAGGAAGGTGTAGACTCCTTGACTGGTTGGGGTCCTCGGGACGGTAAAAACCAATGGTTGGAAACAATTGCGTTATATGCCTCGAAACCGTTCTCAATGGCTGTCGCAGATGCATCCACTCCTTGTGACTTATAATTTCCAATGAAACTATATTATTCTTCCTTATTACTATTCTTTTTGTCACATATCCCTGTCTACTGTCTCTATTATGGATTTCTTCTGTTGGTTTGTGTGCTACATGGAGTGGAGTGTGGTGACTTGAGCTGGTGCACATCGGTGCATAGTTCTATGTCGAAAACAGACAGACGGTGATTAGATTTATCATACGGTATATTACACGAAATACTGTTTAATTCAGGATCTGATCTCTTGTTCATGTCATCTTCGATTGTGTGTGTGTCAGTTTACGTGTACTAACGAGAGTAAGTGTATGTAGAAAGGAAGTGAGACGAGTGCTTTTGGAAAGGAAGAAAGAAAGGAGGTCTATAAGTTGTATTCGTTAGGTGACTGACTAACTGACTGGTTTCAGCGTAGAACTTCTCACTGATGTGCACATGGTTCAAGTTGACACACTCCACCCCATGTAGCACACAAAGTAAGAGAGAGAGATCATAAACAGAAGTGTGAGTGAGGGGTAAACATTATCATAATAGAAAAACAATAGAGTTTTATTGGATATGACAAATTATGAAGAGTGAGAACGATTTTGAGCCATATCACCACTAATTGTCGCCAGCCGTCATTGGTTCTTACCCTCATCCCGAGGACCCCAACGAGTGAGTCAGTCAGTCAGCCACTCTACACCTTCCTTCGTGGCTTAAAATAACTGTTGTGGATTTCATTGACTGATGATGAAGCCATGTTTTGATTTGACCACCACTAGTTAGCTCCCTCTTTTCCTACATGATTATGTGTGTCAGTCAGGTAACACTGACTGTCGTCGAGGAAGGCGGTCGATGGCTAGTGATGCATGCGTAACACAGTTTATTAATGATAATAATAATAGTAGTCATAATTCACTGTCCACTATAGTCATGTTTAACGTATTCTTGTGGTGACAAACGTTTTGTTTACTACTAGCACTAAGTTAGTTAGTAGTATCACACCTTTTTATGTGTTTTTCTTATTTTTCACTCTACAGCCATTTGGTCATAATATGTCTCAGGCTGATATCCTACATGAGAATACAATTCTTCATGCCCGGTCTATTGTATTCCCGTCGACAACAAAAGTTAGCGATGGTGCAAAGGTAAGTGTAATCACTGAGACTACCCTCCCCCCGCATCTATTATCTATTATTATTTTCTATTTGTTTGAATGATTGCACACGTGTTTTGCGTGTGTGTGTGTGTATGAGGGAGGGAAAGAAGTGATATTACACCGTTGAAAAATAAGTGGGTTAGGGCTCAAACCAACGGGGGATGCTTTACCTGAAAGTGCAGTGCCTTAGACCACCATTGCATATAGACAAGTGTGGTGGGGCTTTCTTTAATGTAATCTTTGAAGCGACCAAAGCAGTGTGTGTGCGATTGTTTTGTCCTATAATGTATTATTATTATATGTATTAGTCCCCATTTCAGTATCCATACAAAAAGACAGCAAATTGTCTGTTTTGTGATGATAGTTCATGATTGGTATTAGTTAGATTGAAGTTTCGAATGATGATAATAACTTTTTGTCTCAACAATAGGACGCACTGCCTTCAACAACCACTTAAAATTGCATGCAGTTGTCAATCAGCTACATATATTGTTTTAGGAATTAGTGTATTGATACTATATCTAGCTCCCCAATCCTCCCAGTAGGGGGTTGGAGTGGGGTTTGAACACAGGACTCCTAGGTTGTTGGGTGTTGAGTGCTCTCAACCGATAGCTGCTACCTTGGCGTGGTGGTCGGGCTTGCACATGATATGATGTGAACACTACTCATTCAGCCAGTGGTTCACAAATCTAATCACCTGTTTGTGTGAAAATTGGCATTCTTATTTTTTTCTTTTAGCAAACCAACACTGTTAGCCGATTTCGCAATCTGACAGAATATTTCCTGTTCGCTTAGATAATAAGTAACTTTTGTGCAGTTGGCAATCATTCTCTTACTGTGTTTCTCAGCTTATGAGTATATTATATTTCCAAATGTTGGTGTGTAGGAATTTGATTTGGAACTCCTCATTGGTACTCATCCTCCACTACTTCCACGGTTCGAACCCAGGACCTTCCAGTTGTTACAAGGCAAGCTTGTAGACCATTCAGTCACTGAGACACTACTCAATGACCGACCAGCCCATAAATTCTAGCTTCTACCAATTTGTGATTGTAGCGCGAATCACAGCGGCCAATGTCATCGTTGACGCTAGTATCCGACCTCAATCTCGACAGGATGGACCCCACTGGTCAGAACCAGAACCACTAGAACTCCAGGCAACACCGTCCTGTAGCCAGTTTCTAGTGTGTGCATCAGATTTCTGTTTATTATAAATACGCCGATTATCATGGTAGTTACTCCCACCCATTTCCCTCCTTTCGATAGATTTTATTCAATCGAAATGTTTCGTCTCCGCTGACATATGTACTCTACTATACAAGCACTACAATGTGTGTTCCCCCCAGTCAGTGGCTTAGTGGATGATAACGCTTTGGCGTTTGAAATGATCCATAATAGGTTCATCTCTCACTTGCTAGGGAAACAGACACGTCTGTCTCATGAATTCCTGAATAGGGACGAATTGCACAACCTGCATTCCACTGTCTCAACCAAGTGCATTCGTCGAAGTATCCGCGCACTGGGAGCTGGCATGTCATAACTGATAGGCGTTGCATAATGAAATAGAGATGGCTGTCGTATCCCAAATGCGCCTAGTGGGATACTGGGTTTAAATCTCAATGGGGATACCGTCACTCTTTCTACGGATGCAGCTACATTCACCTGACCAGTCAGTGCAAGATAATAGGGGCACAATGAACCCTCTGGATTTCATTAGCTACCTCAAATGAATTAAAAACGTCTGTGCTATATATTTATATGCTATCTCTCTGCGTCTCTAGTATGCGATATTCTATTCTGATTGGTTTATTGCCTAATGTTATTGATTTTTTAATATTTTTATCTATCTTAATAGGAATTTATCCGTAAATGTTGTACGTATCGAAAAGATCTTCGACCGGATGTCTTTCAACTTTGTAATGATGACTATTTAAAGCCTAAAGCACAATTAAAGTAAGCGTGTGTGTGTGTGTGTGTGTGTGTATGTGCGTGCATAATCTCATTTTATCTTGTTTTTTTCTCCACTTTTGCAACAAAATGTTTTCTGTCCATTAAGCGTTGGCAGAAGAAGCATCAAAGATAGGAATTCAGGTGAACGAACATAGAGAAAAGAGAGGTGATGAAGATTCCTGGCCAACACCAACAGCAGCAACAACAACAGACAACAATCAGCATAAATGGGAGAAATATGAAAGAAGCAACCTCCTTCGCTCACCGACCTGGAAAGCATCGTTTCAACTACAGGCGGACGGAAATAATGAGGATATCAAAGCGAGAATCATCGGAAAAGCAAGATGAACTTTCGTTGCTCCCAAGTCTGTGTGGAGGTCAACAGCACTACTCACCATGAAAATGAAAATAAGATCCTGATTTTCAACTCCAATGTTAAGTCAGTCAGTGCTACTCACTATACGGATCAGAGACTTGGCTAGCGCGTCATAAAGAGCATCTCAAACAAACTACAGACCTTTATTAACAACTGTCCTCGCTCAATACTACTCAAGATCAGATGGCCAGCCAGAAAAAATCAGCAACAGTGACCTCTGGCAGTTAGCGAACCAACCCAGCAGGAACCGATTGTGCAACAAATATTCAGGAAGAAATGGAATTAGATGTATTGGCTGACCATGCTCTGAGGAAACCATCAAGTGACATCACTAGATAGGCCATCACTCGCGTGGAACCCGAATGGGAAGCGGCGAGTTGGTCGTCAGAGTGAGGGTTACTTGGAGGGGTGATGTAAGGAGGAGATGAAAGCATGTGGGTAGGTGTGGAGCCAGGTGAAAACTCCAGCAAAGAACCGAAGGCATTGGAGACGCGCAACTGGGGCCCTATGTTCTTCTAGGAATTAAAGGAAATAATATAATAAGCGTTTAGGGGTATATATCTCTCTGTATATATACATATAGCCTTTAGTGTCTTTGTGTTGTTGCCACCTGAGTGTATAATACGATAGTTCACTCATTTCCAGTTCGCTAGATCCCTTGGCTAAGTTGGTAGAGCACTAACTGGACTATAATAATTCAGAAGGGTTGGAAGTGGTTCAAATTCCTACCGTGATCCACTTTTATATTTCACCCTTAATCACCATTCATTACATCAAATAACAGTCTGTAGCAATCCAAAGACTTATTTGCCTCAGAGAGAATCTTACTATCAGTTAGTTAGTTGTCTTCTCTTCCCATTCTAGTTCACAGTATGGCATGGGATTTTGACTACAGGATGACCTAACTCCACAGCTGATGTAGTAGGGATAAACAGACTGGAACATATCGTTCATTCACATGACAACTGTGTATTATTATTATTCATTCGGGTTCCGAGTGGAACACAACGCTTCGGCGGTTGCATATATCTCCGTTTCATCGTATCTTCTGCTATCCTTCTTAATCAGTTACAGCTCTTTCACTTCGTCCATACACAGTCTCTTGTAGACCATTGAGCCACTGGATTGGCATAAATTAGAATTCAAGGACCATTGGATCGGGTCCCAGTGGCTCCAATGGTCAATGAGCTCGCCTTGTAACCAGAAGGCCCTGGGTTCGAACCCCGGTGGGTGCGTACTGCTGATGAGTCCCAAACTCTTGATATTAGATGGTTGGAGGCAGCCAGCTACTGGAAGCCTGGACCTAGGTTTCCAGCTAGTGTTGTCACTCACCGAAATCAGCAAGGCGTAGTATCATCATCAACCTCGAAGAAACTCATGTCCCTTCTAAAATTCGAATCTGCGTCGCTTATATGAGAGCTGCAGTCAGAGATGGTTACCACCACACTCTGAGCAGCTCGCTATTTGACCTCCCCTAGGGACACTAGTTATTATTATTATTAACTGGTGTAATGTGTCTGGTCCTTTGTTTGGTGCAAACTGGATTCTATCAGCCAGATAGACTAGACGGCTCGCCATCACGGTGCACACTATGAATTGTTGATATTATCAGATGGTTAGAGACAATCAGCAGGAAGCCTTGTTTGACTCAGGCTGCGTGTTAGTTGGTATTCAGCAGTCAGCAAGGCGTATGTGTATATCTGCAACCTCCTCCAATCAAAATCAAGAAATACTCCTTTCTATGCTTTATTATTATTATTATTGCTAAGGTTTAATATTATTATATTACAATTCAAATATTGTTTGTATTTTCTTTTTCAGGCATTATCTTGATACATCTTCACTTCCTGGTCCTATTCCACTCGGTATAACAACAACTCCTCCGCCTTCCAGTTGTATTGGTGCCTCTATTATTCCCAATGTCGGCGGTGGTAATCCTCCATGTCTACTCTCTGGCTACCAAACAAACAATAATAATAACAACAATAATAACCATAATAACAGTAGCGTGAACAGTGGTGTTGCCCAACCTCAATCACAACATATCCTTCAACAACAAACTACATCGTTTTCTGTACTTCAAAGTCAAGCGGTGGCAGCTACGCCATCTTTACAACCATTGACATTACCTCCACAAAGTTAAGCGCATCAGTAACAACAACGGCAACCGACGATAACCACAAAGAAATGCGTTCCCTTGTTCAGTAATTAGTTGTCGCAACGCCCCCCACCCCCAACCAAGCAAAGCAATCTGACTTACTCTTTCCAATATTGATTATTGTGGATGTGTTGGAACTTGAAAAGATTTACACACACACTGCTGGCCGCCCCTCCCCTTCCACTGTTATTCATGTGTAAACGTATATACATATATGTGTACTCATGTCACCATTGAGTCATACTTTTAGCACTTGTGTATAGTTAATTTCTCCTATTATACATTATTATTACTATTGCTATTATCATTATTATCATTAATAATACTATTATCATTAATCAGAAACTTGTATTTATATATTTGTGTGTATGCGTGTACAAGGCATTAACGTGTTCTTTCTGTAAGTGTGTGTGTGTGTGGATGGGTGGGTGTGGTTATCTATCTATCGATCCATTTGTGGGGTGTTCTCCCTCCCTCCCTCTCTCTATTTTCTTCAGTTTTTTTTGTGCAAAAGAGTGTATTCCCCTTATCCCCAACCCATCCCACCATCATTGTGTATTCTTCCCTCTCGCCGCCCCTCTATCTCTCTCTGTCTCTCATAGTGTCTTTTACGGTTTGTCGTCTCTTGGTTTTTCTACGATTGTACCACAACTTCTCTCTCTCTCTCCCTCTGTGAGTGCGTGCGTGTCGGTTAGTATCTACAGCACACTCTTCTCATTCCCTTTTTTGTATGTGTAATTTTTGTATTATTATTATTATTACTAAACTACAGAAGGCACCGAATGCTTCACCTCGAAAGGAACAATCACATTCGGTTTATTTTGTAACAACTATGTGTGACATACTGTGTTGTGCTCTATGATTTTTTTGATTTTCTTTTTGTTCGTTTTTCAATATATATTCCTTTCCTGTGTAGTATACTCTCAAATGTGTGTGTATGTGCGCATGTGTGTGTGCGTGTTTACGTTTGTGTTTGTGTCAGTGTGTGTAATACTCAGCCTCCTTGAGGCGTTTCAAAAACACACTTTTCTCCTCCTCTATCGCCGTTGTCGTCGCACGCGTACACGCACGCACACACATGCATGCATACATACATACCACCATTTTAGATTGATCTATATATATATATATGTGTGTGTATTGTAATTTTGTTTTCCCATCCTCGCGCGTTCTTTCTGTTTTTTTAGTAATCTTTGTTCTCCTCTTCTACACTCTCCCCCCCCCTCCAACACCACACACACCACACCACTCACTATTTCTGATCAAAAAGCCTAGATATTGAATTTTTCAATGTTTCTTCAAATATATGCAATAATAATCATATTATAAATATTAATTTTCTATCGTTTAGTTTGTAAGGGTTAGTTATGTTTTTTTTTACGAGTTGATCGCGTATTGATATCAGTTAGAGAACCATTGAAAATCAGCAGGGGAGTACTGGACAGCTGCTGTTTCATCCTAGTTTGGGAATCATGCGCAGTACGCACCCACTCTACAAGGGGTTCGAACCCAGGACCTTCTGGTTACAAGCCAGAAAGCAAGCTCGTATACCATTCAGCCACTGGGACCCGATTCAATGACCGCCAGCTCATGAATTCTAACTTTTACCGATTCGTGATCAGTTTAGCACGACCCCAACCATTGTCGTTGGTGGGACATCCATCCACACACGTGACATCAAATTGGACCTCACTGGTCACGACTTCTCACTAGAATCCACTCCAGGAAACTCCGTCGTCCTGTAGCAAGTCACTAGGGAGCATCAGATTAACTTTTTATAGTTTGGTTTGTAAGGGTTAGTTATGTTTTTTTACGAGTTGATCATGTATTGTTATCAGATAGAGAACCATTGAAAATCAGGGAGTACTGGACAGTTCTAGTTTTGGGAACCAGTACCTTCTGATAACAAGGCAAGCTCATATTTTACAAAAAAAGCCCACCAATATTTTAGCAGTTGAGTTGTGAGTTAATGGATTTGTAGCTCTACTTTGCGTCTTTTCCTGGTGTGGTTTTTGTTAGTGAGCTGGGTGTGTGGGGTGGTGGTGGCTGGTGACTTTACACATGCGAAGCTTCCATTGTCCTTCACCAGACATCAAAATCTTGTCTGCTTACATCACTATAAGAGGGATGAATGACATGACTATGGCTGTAATTAGTTGTCCTCGGAAGGTTTCTTTTCTTTTCAAGTTTATCGTTTTTGTGAACCTCGTATTCGACCTTTACGTTTTGTGACCTGCTCTTTTAGTGATGTTGGTATTTTCAATCCTACTCAATCGAATCCCAGTGAATAGTTGTTTGTGAGTTGTTCGACTGGAGGTTTGTCTGTATCTTTAGGGAAGAAAGCGCAAGATCGTGTGATGTCTCCTCTTACTCCATTAACCGACTGTAGTTTGAACAACAAGATAAAAAAAATGAATTGGTGAATAAATGGTGACTAGCAGTGGAATCCAGCTAGGCATTATTCTCCAGTGAGTCAGTGATGGTGTTCCCATTGAGGCTCGAACCCAGTACCCATCATTTTAGATGCCAGTGCGTTATCTATTAGACCACGAGAGCGCCACCTCTTTCTTGCGTAACTAACCGGTATCAGTTACTAATTAATTAATTTTTCCTTCACGTTCCTCAGTGAAACATAGGGCACCTTCAAGCTAGTGGCTTGAAGTTTCTGTAGCAGTGGTGTTTATTTTACGAGATGGGGTTGCTAGCCAGCCTCATGCCCAACCTTTTCTCTTTACCAGGACTATTTCTGGCTTAGCGAGGTAAAGTAGTGCGTCTGTGGCCGGGGATCGAACCCCGGACCACGTGCATGGTCGGCGAGCGTCCTAACCGCTATGCCACCGGCGCCTATCAGTTACTATATATAATTAGATTTAGACTTTCCTGTTGATTAGACCGAGAAGTGCTCAGCTTCAGGTTGACATGTCGGCTCCTTACGCAGATGCTTTGACGTTTGAAACTATGAGTGTACTGGGTTTCAGCCTCTGTGGGAGGACACTATGATTCATGTGGGGGGGGGGGAGCGCAGGCACATCCAATCAGCTAACGAGTTTGAATAAAGCAAGAACACAACAGTGGTGGTTTGTGCAGAATAAGAAGATGGTACCATCCTTGTTTATTTCGTTGGCTTCTCATCATCTCAGCTGCTTCTTACAGCCTAAATAAATTTTCAGGTTTAAGAACAGAAACGTTTTAACATACTTTCAAATTTTACATGTTGTCAGTTAACAGAAAGTTCCACAATTTGGTAAACAGTGCTCAGAAAATTGCGCTTATATAGTTTTTACACAGACAGTTCAAGTTAAAACAAAATAAATGTATGCAGAAAATGGTAAAGGAGTTACATAATAAAGATGAGATGTGCGTTTGATGCATAGTGACTAATAAGTTAGGTAACAATGTACTGAGTTGAACTCAAATCATAGAAACAAGAGACAAGCAAAATTATAAAAGGAGGGTGAGGTTAAAGACAAAGATTACGTAATCAGATGTGAGAGAATAAAGACATCCAGTTACCAGGTGGGCAAGGAAAGACTAGTAACTGCTTCTCTCTGAACACATAAATCTGGTTTCAAGTGTTTGATAGAAATTGCTTCGGCAAACTTTAGGAGAATTGAGCTCCTTTGTCTATTGATAATTCTGAATGATTTCTCGATTTCCACCTCATGACCCATGTTGAGATGTCTGGTAATAGCGCTACTATAAGAGTTATTTCCCTTGAGACGTAGGCGTTTCGGCACATGTTCAGAAAATCGGAGTTGCACCCCTCTTTCTGTTCTCCCAGTGTAATTGTTCCCGCAGATACACGTAAATTTGTATACACAGTTAGAGTTAATATGAGAAGGGTATCTATCGACTTTTGACTGCACCAAAGAGCATGTTGTTGGATGGACGGAAACCAACTTAGCTGCAGGTTAGGCTCTGGCTAGTGACGTTCTCAGTCTTCTGTTGACCATTTCTGTAATGTTTTCACCTTTAAAATCTAGTTGAATGAAGACAGGCTTTTTTCAACTGTGATTTGTCTGACATTTGAGCCTTCACATCTTCCATATGTGTTAATGAATCTTTGAGGATAACTGTTGTTTTTCAGCACAGAGCTTATTCTCCTCGTTCTATAGTACAGAGTCTTGGCTAGTCCACGTTTAAAGCTATTTGGACAAAAACTATTAAAATGTAATTATTGCCCACTCCATGTGGGCTTTCGGTAGATTGACCTCTGGAGACTACCATCTTCTAGGCTTTGCATGGCGACGTCAAGGAAATGAAACTTTCCATCATTTTCATGTTCCATAGTAAATACAATATTTGTATGTGCGTTGTTGAATAGTTTGAGTAGGTGGTAGGAGGCATGACTTCCATTGTTGCATACTACAAATGTGTCATCGACACTAGGAAGTTGTTTGTTTGTTTGTTTCGTCCCAAGGTAGGACGAAACGCGCGTTGTCCTGGATTCCACTGCTAGTCACTGTCCACCAATTTATTTCAAGTTGAATACTCAGACATCGTTGAAGCATCTGAAAGAGGAGCTAATACATTCAGCTGATAATGAAGCCACCATCCACCAAATTGTCTCAAAAAAACGTACAGAATTTTGACCAGAGTTCAATGCGTGATATTATATCTTCCGTCGTCCAGGTGTCTTCAAATAAAAGGATTAACTGACAGTATGTCGTGTGACACAGTTCTGTCTGACCCGAAACACTGTAAACCAATCCCATCATTTTGATAACCTTTTCTTCGTCTCCTTCAAGAAATTTACGACATTCTATTGAATGAAATGTTTGGAAAGTTTAGGAGTAAATTTTGTGAACGAGGGACACCACTCAGGAACGTTCATCTCATGGGATGGGGTACGTTGACATCGAATATAATGTTATCCCTCATCTTTTTTTACTCCTTCACGTTCCCAGTGGAACATAGGGCATCTTCAAGCTAGAGCGAGCTTGAAGTTTCTGTAGCAGTGGTGATTATTTCTTACAGGATGGGGTTGCTAGCCAGCCTCAACTGTTCCAGCCTTTCTTCCTATTTACCAACTTTATTTCTGGTTTAGTGAAGTGAAGAAGTGCGTCGGTGGCCGGGGATCGAACCCCGGACCATGTGCCACTGACGCACGCTTTTTCTCATATTCAGTAGAAACTTTCGAATCATAAGGCTGTAAATTTTTCAAATATTCGTGAGAGTAAATAATACTATTAAAGATGGTCATATTTTACTGGATTTATTATTATATCCTTCAATTCCTAGAGGAACATAGGGCTTCAGCCCCACGTCTCCATTGCGTTCGGTTCTCTGACAACTTTTTCACTCCTCTCCAAGTCTGCCCACATGTTTTCATCTCCTCTTCACTTGACCTCCTCCAAGTCATCTCACCACCGCACTGACGACCAACTCGCCGCTTCCCTTTCGGGTTCCACTCGAGTAATGGCTTGTCTAGTGATGTCACTCACTTGATGGTTTGTTTCCTCAGAGTAAGGCTAGCCAATCCATCTAACTCCATTTCTTCCTGCCTATTTTTTGCACAGTTGGTTCCTGCTGGGTTGGTTCGCTCAGTGTCAGAGATCCCTGTTGCTGATCTTTCCTGGGTGGCCATCTGATCTTGAGTATTGAGCGAAGACAACTGTTAATAAAGGTCTGAAGTTTGTTCGAGATGCTCTTTATGACGCGCTAGCCAAGTCTCTGATCCGTATAGTGAGTAGCACTGACTGACTTAACATTGGAGTTGAAAATCCCGATCTTATTTTTGATGCTGTATGCTGTTGATCTCCACACAGACTTAAGAGTAATGAAAGGAATGCGTTTATTAAAAAGACAATTGCAGCGAAGAAAATTTTCTTTTCGACGATGTCATCATTCAGGCTGTACAGTCCTCTATTTATATCAAAATGGATGGGAAAGTTCCAGAATAATATCCGGTCAAGAGTCAAATAAATAAAAATTTCAATTAGGAATTAGAATGTCATAATAAACAGGGGAGGGGGACTGATAAAACTCAAACAAAGTAACATCATAATAACTAAGCAGATTGACATTGTGCAATTGGGGGCTAGAAATGTAGAAATAACAACAATAGACATGATGTTTGGATAGAAAAATCTAGTGGGATCATAACTAATGTGACGAATAATTGCTTATGCAATCAGGGGTTAAATATGTAGAAACAGTAAAATGACAAAGTAAACACGAAGTTCGGATATGAAAATATAGTAGTGTAAATAGGGATTAAGAAAAACTGACATGTCAACCTGAGACCGAGCACTTCGGTTCAATCAATCGACGGGAAAATCAAAAATTCAATTCAATAATTAATATGACCGGTTGCACAAGAGGTGGTTC